CCAGAGGGTTTCCTAGGCTGAAATCTTTACAGGAGACCAGGCTTTTTCTGGTGGGTTTGAACCACCGACCTTTTGGTTAGCAGCTGAATATTTAACATTAAGCCACCAGGGCTGCTTCTAGCTCCTATTAGGTATACATGCAGAGTGGGAACAACAAAAGAGGTCCCCACTAATCCCGGCTTAGAGAAAGGGATGAGTCACCTTGGGCCTCAGGGACTCAGAGGTCCAGCCCTCGTTTTTGTTCACCTTCCTGATCCTAAAACCTGGACCCCCAGATCCTTCCACCCTGAGACCCAGACATTCTGGACCCCAGTTCCCGCCTCCCTCAGACCCAAGAGTCTTGACCCCAAGCCTCTCCTCCCTCAAACCCCAAAGTCCTGGCCATGAAGCCCCTGCAAATTCAGACAGCTAGACCTCTGCCCTTCACCCCTCAAACCTAGGTGTCCGGACCTCGAGTCCTCTCTCCCTAGGATCCAAGTGTTCACACCCCAAATCCCCTCAAGGACTCAGGACTCTGGACTTCCAGCCCTCTCTTTCCTCAGGATTCAAGAGAGCCATAGATGGGAAACAGATAGAGGAAGAGCACGGGTTCAGAGTGGACCCCAGCCCCTAATATTCTCTCTCTCACCTGGTGGTGGGTGCCAGGCTTGTGACCTGCTGATGTGACTGGGCACTGGGCAAGCCTCCACCACTGGGGGGCAACAGGAGCAGCCCAGAGCCGGCCCCGCCTTCAGTGGGCAGCTCAGGGGATGTCTGGCTCGGTTTGACCCCAGCAGCCACCGCGGCCGCTGCAGCCTCTGGATATGAGTCCATGTCCAAGTAGGAGGGTTCAGGGGGGTCAGAACCTCCCAGGCCGCCTGGCTCCAGCAGCTCGGCAAAGGGCGGATGGTGGGCGGTGTGGGCATGGTGATGTGGGCCTCCCAGCAGAGGGTGACCCCCTAGGCCAGCCCCTAAGTGGTGTCCACCACCGCCTACCAGGCCCGCCAGCCCGACCCCAGGGCCTAGGTCTTTGCGCAGGGGGCCGCCGCCCACAGCCGAGCCTCCCTTGTCCCGCCAGGGCACCCAGCACAACTTCCAGGACACGAAGAGGGAGACGCCCAGAAGGACAATGCCGCAGAACGTCACGATGACCGACAGCAGGCTCACGGAGATGTCTGGAGAGGTGAGGACAGAGGACAGCGGTCGGGGTTCAGTTCATCCTCCCATTGCTGTCCCCAAAGATCTAACCCTTAGTCTATGCCCATGTGATCATGAACAATTTACACAAATTTCTATGCAGTATATGTACATGACCATTTTAAAGATGAGGCACACAGAGGTTGAGTGACTTGTTTAAAGCAACACAGGAAGTAAATGACCACTCTGAGATTTGAACCCAGCACTCTGTCTCCAGATTTTATTCTCTTAATCACTACCCCACACTGTCTTTTCTAGGAGCTCTGGTAGCATAGTGCCAAAGGCACTTGACCACTAACCAGAAGGCTGG